GGTAGGCGTTGACGGCGCGCAGGGCGGCGGCCTGGGAGGCGCGGTCGGAGAGGCTGGTGATGGGGGCGGCGTGGGAGGGCGCCGTGCCCATCGAGGAGACGCTGACGGCGTCGGAGTCGCGGCGGGAGAAGGCGTGGTCGAGGTTCCGCGGGTAGAGCGGCTGGTCCGTCATCGGGGTGCGGTCGACGGCCGCCGAGGAGGTGGGGGCCTTCGGGTGGCGCCCGCCGCCGCGCCCGCGCCGCATTTCCGGTGCCGGAGTTGGGGTAGGGGTTTGGTCTGGAAATTCCGGGGTTTCGATTTGATTTGGGGACCAAGTGGAGAAAAATGCAGAACGCTATGCGGTTGGGAGGCCCTGGGCTGGGCTTTTACGTGGGCTACGTGGCCGAACTCGGAAACAAGGTTGGGCCGCTAGGCCCGTTAGGCCGGCCAGTTACTGTCCAGGTCGGACGTCTGACTCGGCCTCCAACCATCGCTTCCCATATATACTTCTCCACGCCCTTCCTGCCAAAAGGATTCGAGCCGAGCAAGGGGGGGTCGACGTTGCCAGCCAGCCAGCCAGCCGTCCGCCATGGACACGGACGAGTTCCAAGCGGTGCTGGAGAGGATGCTCCAGCTGCGGCTGGATTGCCCGCCGGACGGCGACGGGGCCACCGCTCCTCAGGACGCCCCGGCGCGGCCCGCCGCCGCGGACGACGACCACGCAAAAGTAAAACAATCGGCGGCTGAATGGACGGAGGCCCTGGTGGGCGAGATGGCGAGCGCCGCCTCCATGGACGACGCCCGGCGCCGCGCCGCAAAGATCCTCGAGGCCTTCGGGGGCGCCGTCTGCACTCCCGCCGGCCATGTCCTCGCCGATAAGGACCGGGAGCTGGCGAACATCCGGCGGCAGAACAGCATCCTGAAGAAGGCGGTGCTGCTCCAGCACCGGCGGCACGTGGAGGACGAGGAGAAGGGCAGGGAGCTCCAGGGCCAGGTCGCCCAGCACCGGGAGCAGGTCCGGCAGCTCGAGGCGGACAAGTATGTGCTGTCCATGCACCTCAGGAATGCGGGCGGCGGGGCCTCCATGCCGGGGAACTTCAACCCGGAGGTTTTCTGAAGAACCAAAGGCCGACGATGGTCTATCCAGCCGATTATTTGACGGGTTGATTTTCATTTAGCATGATGATATATCATACCCTGTTCAAGTCTGACTCTTTTTGTCTTGTATGTAATACTCATAATAGGGCATCTATCATTATTCATCAATATAGCATATTTTGATTTATTTATCTACTAGCAAAAAGGCCCGTGCGTTGCAACGGGAGATTTTTTTTTACATAATCATCAATAGCCATGACCACATTTTGTTGCATCATCGAGATACACTATCACTCTCAATTTCGTGAAATGATGAACAATTTTTGAAATCATGAACATTTTCTAAAACTTGTGCACATATTTGAAATCATAAATTTGAACATTTTTACAAATTTTTGAACATATTCTGAAATCAAGAACATTTTTTGAATTCATGAACATTTTATACTATTTGCAAACATTTTTAAAATTTGTGAACATTTTTTAGTTTATTTTTTATTTTATGTGCAAATGGACGAACCAAACGACGGATGAAAATCTGGTAACAATCGATGTACAAAAGAAAGGGAGTAAGAAACGTTTGTGCCTTTAATAGAAAAAGAAAAGTACTAATTACGGGTACAACATAAAATAATTTTAAAAATAATTAACATGCAAGATAATATTGTATTTAGAATCTGCAATTTTTTGTGAGCGATCTCCATATATAATATGCTAAATTTGGAGTTGGGGTTTGAAAGATATGAATATTTAAAAAAAATACTTCAATTTGCAAAAAAAAGAAGTTAAAAAGAGAATATTTTGGCTGTAATTATACTGTGTAGACCATCTGTTAAGCGACACTTGGCAAGGTAGCTCTATATTACGTCAACTGAAAGTTAATACAAAGTTGGGTCATTTATTTTAAAACGGGGAGAGTTGCTCTATATTACGCCAACTGAAATTCACGAAAATAAGGCTGAAAAAATGGGCAGGGTCCGGGTTCAAACCCAGGTCTCCTAGATGGTAGAGAAATGCCTAAGCCGGTAGGGTAGTTTGTTTTCTTTTGTTGTGCAAGGGCATTTCTGTAGATGAATCAGACGCTATCGACGGCGACTTAAGAAAAAAAAGTATCATTTTTCCATTTACGGGTGGCATCGATGGGTAATTTTTACCAACTTTGAAGGTAATTCTAATAACGGACGACCAGAAGCGATAGCCGCTTTATTAGTAGAGATAAAGATTTTTCTTCTTATGATGGCACACTCTCCTCTCATAGTTAGATAAAATTGCATGCACAAATCTACTATGAGCTATTACATACAATACGAAATCTGCAGCACACATTGCACGCACAATATCTAACTACTTATCTGCAACTTGGATTGTCCAAAAGCATCTACAACCGGCCTCCACTTTGTTCCTATACATCTGGAAGGACAACCTGACTGTACCTGGACATGAGAGAGAAGGAAAGAGGCTACCCAATCAAACCCCTCATTTTGTCTCTACATGTCCGAGCTATCTGTAAACCCTCAAACTTAGACCATATGTAGGGAGGATATAAGGGCATCCGGAAATGCCGACGCAGTCCGCCACATCAGACCCGGCCCACCCAGACCATTTTATCTTATTCTTTATTTTATTTTCTTTCTCTCTCTCTCCATCCCTATCAATCACATGCATTTAAGTGATACAGTCAATTGTGTGTATGAAGATTGAGGGTTCAAAGCAAACATCCGAACACGTCCGTGGACATATAGGGGGCCAAATTAGCTCAATCCAGTTGTAGATGCTCTAATAGAGCGAGAATGGAAGAGGTAATCACAACTCTAGCATAACTATTTTTTCTTGACAAAAAACGCTAACAAAACTTTTAAAAGGTTATGGTGTGAAGAGCTATTTTAGATTCCCTGTATTACATACGCCCTCTATAATTTTTATATATATTAGAAGATGACGAGTGAAGTGCTTTTATCTAGTATTTTCACCATAAAAGTAGTTATTATGTCGAAGTGCTTTCAGGCTACTTTATCCCTAGGGCCTCATTCGGTCTGGAGGATTTTCGTAGGAATAACATAGGAACAAGGATTTCAGAGAAAAATTTCCTATATATGCATTTGGTTTATAAGAAATGCGTATAGGAATTTCGTAGGAATACTACTCATTTCCTGTGTTTTTGGAGGAAACTACACATTCACTCAAAGCCCATTTTGCGCGTAGGAACGAGGCAAGTCAATTTCTTAGGATGGCAAGTGCCATCCTATCAAATTCCTATACTACTCCTAATTCCTACGTTCTGATTTCCTCCAAACCGAATAAGCCCTAGTATGATGCACTCTACACTCCATGCACCCTAGCCATGTAAAAAAAAAAGCTATCCGTGTCTACTCGAGGGATAGCCATCCAACCAAACACATTCCACATGAACGTGGATATCCCAGCAAAGACGCCGTTTGGTCTCACCCAGTACCGTTATCCATCCATGCACAGGACGCGAGGCATCCGTGTCAGGGAACTTCCACCCGGAGGTTTCTGAGCAACCAAAGACGGCAGGATATATAGTTTTCTATTTAACATTGATAAATGGGCATCGAGGATTATAGTTAATAGTGCATCGAGCATTTAACTGCGCAGGTTTCAATAGGTCATTGTCGAGATGAGAGATCGTGGGGATCCCCTTTTAGAGATTACACTTCAGATATTGAGGCTATGGGAAAGCTTTAGTTTTCAGTAAGGGTCTGAACAAAAAGGTTTGGGCTGTCCTTCATTTTTGTTCCAAGCATCAGCTATTGATTTCAGTGTGCTTTCCCTGTTTTCTCTTGCAGATTGTATCAGTTGTACTTCCTTCGGTCCTTTTTAGTTCGCATATAAGATTTGACTGAAGTCAAGGCTTGTAAAGTTTGATCAATTTTATAGAAAAAAGTAACAACATTCACAATCTAAAATCAATATCAATAAATGTATCATGACTTAAAGTTTCATATTGTACAACTTTAGCATGGCAAATGTTTATATTTTTCATATAAATACGGTCAAACTTTGTGAAGTTTGACTTCAGAGTATTCTAATATGCAGAGTAAAAAGGACCGGAGGGAGTATGTGGAAAGATCGTCGCTTAAGAGGCAAAGGATAATAACACAAGCATCTGTCAAACTCAACCAAATAAAAGTTACAGAGTTGTACGCGAAGAATCACTAGATTTCCACCATGCCTGCTCTCCAGGCTTCCGAGATGGTTCTACCAACTGGAGCTGGAAGACGGTCACGGTCCTAGCAGAAGGGGTGGGTCCTTCTTCCCGCTCCCAGAGTCGGGGTCCTCTGCTGGAGCAGGCCTCGGCACAGCCCACACACGGAGTGGCGGCTCAAACATCTTCCCCACGACATCTGGCGGCGGCTGCTGCGGCGCGTCCTCCCCGGGGAGCACCACGAGGCCCTTCTCCCTTAGAGAAGATGGCTCGCCATAGCACTCTTTCCAGAGGGAGTCCACCAGCTGCCGCTCCTCACGGGCTGCTTGCAGGTCGTCTGCGTCCATGGCGCTGATGCCTTCGATTCGGCTCTTCAGGACGTCTTTCAGCTTGTCTTGGTCAGGTAGAGCGTTGCGTGCAGCTGGTGTCTTGTCACGCGCCAGCTCTAGAAGGCCGCCCAGGGCAGCCTCCCGGACTCCAGAATCGTCGCTGGATGCGAGGTGTATAAGTTGATTCGGAAGATCAATCTTTTCAGCAACGTTCCTATCCGCCTTGTTGTTCAGCAGGTACTGTGTGAGATGCAGAGCTTTCCTGGGATGATACAGACAGGACAACTGTTATGGACATTCCAGGTGTGTAATTCCAGTAGCAACAGAATTTTCTTAGCCAGAATCAACAAAACTAGTACAAAAACACCAGCATGAATAAACCAGGCGTTGCATATGTTGATAGGATAGTTTCATTAGCAAAGTTGATTAACAACTTAACATGTCTATTCACATCGCTAGAATTCTTGTGATAACTCTTTTAGTGATGTGCGAATGCAGACCATATCTGAATAGAGAACCTGGTTGCCCCAGTTCCACTGATGGTGGATATTATGACAATAGAAAGCCAGGTTATCAAAAGAAACGGGAAGTATAAGTTGCATGATTCGAGTAAAAACAATTTCTGAGTGATTCCTCTTCTACTGACAAGGGTAGACATGCAAGCTGTTCCCATATAGAATTTCTGCTTTGAAGGGGAGCCTTGGCGCAGTGGTAAAGCTGCTGCCTTGTGACCATGAGGTCATGGGTTCAAGTCCTGGAAACAGCCTCTTACAGAAATGTAGGGAAAGGCTGCGTACTATAGACCCAAAGTGGTCGGACCCTTCCCTGGACCCTGCGCAAGCGGGAGCTACATGCACCAGGTTGCCCTTTAAATGTCTTGCTAGAAGATGGTACAATTTCTTGGATACAGGGAAAGTTCAGAGTACTGTTCTGGTGTATATTTCTTGTCCTAACAAACCCAACCAATTCAAAAATTCTCTTATGAAAATATGCAATGGTGTGCCATAGGAGGATAGGCACATAGCTGTTCTAAATACCACAAAACATACCTCTGAAGTCTAGCATCATCAGAACCAAGTGCATCTTTCAGTGCAGCATGTCCATTTCCTAGACGAAATGCAGCAAGACCAGATTGGTTATTGCGAATCAGAGCTGCAACACAAGGGTATGAAAACAATTATTAGCATGAAAACAACAAAAGAGGACTACATGAAGTTGAACTAGTGATCCTTGCATGCGATTTCTTTTGTCATATATGAAATGCACAAATACAAAGACAAAGAAGATATGGCTTACAAGAGATAGCTCCAAGAGCTTTTGTGCGCGCAGTCGTGCTAGGATCAGACCTGAAGTTTGTCAATAGTGGCTCCAGTCCATTAGATTCCATGACAAGTTGCTGGCTTTTCGGGTTATTCTGAACAACCGTACTCACCTTCTGCTGCCTTTGCTCGGATGCCAGCATGTGAATTTTTTAAGTAACCAAGTAGAGGATCTAGTCCACCAATAGAATGAAGATCTGCTTGGACAATTCAAACATTTAACAAATTCCATATGGTTAACCGCACTAACTATTTAAAAGCAGATAGATCATCATCTGGCTCATCAGTGATCTTACCATTTGCCATATCAATGGATTCGACATGCTCTTGTAACTCATCAAGCATATCTGCGCACAAAGTTAGAAAATGTTTAGCTCAATGGACTTTAGCATGCACTGACAAATCAGAATCGGGTGCGGAAGGTAATTTTAAACATACATGAACAAAGGGTGTGAAAGGAAAAGCAGGGTCTGATCAAAATAATCATCATAAGATGCATTTCTAATTGAAGTGGGAATGGTAAAAATTTAGCAGCACACAAACAGAAAAACTTCATGGACTGTGACGAATATCTACCTCACCCCAAATGTTTATCAGAAAGTATAAAAGAACAAATTTCTTACTTTCTATCAAACAACAGCAATTATTTCTGCCACATATTAGTTGTGTGAATTTCAATACCACAAGGCACACATATTGCACAATCAAGTAAAAAAAATTAAATAAAATTTGCACCGTAAAGGGAGAATAACAGCAAGCCAGCTGGTTAAAAATCAGTTCAGGAATAACTGCCCATTGCTAATTTCAGGCCTATCCATTCACAGTGTTTGCCGCATTTTATTTATATATCATATCCGCATGCAAATGCTATGAATTTAAACAAGTATCCTCAGCCCTAGTTTTAAGCTCCAAGCATTAAATATTTGCTAGTTGCATGTTGTAGAGCACATACGGCACACAACAGCCAGTGTCTAGAGCGATGAAAATGCTCTCAGATGTGAACAATAGCATCCAAACAATCTGTGGGGTATAAAATTGCATGTCTAACAGAAAAACATCTACAGGTAAACAACAGAAGGAATGTGAAAGCATGATAAGAAACATGTAGGTTTGAGAATATGATGATCACAAAAACAGGAACACCTGTGAAGGTACCTTCAATGTTCTCTGGAGTGACGCCATGAGACTGCAACACATCATCAGGGGTTTTCATCACCTGGGCAATCTCCTTCATCCTGCCAACAACATCGACTGTATTTGCCTGCATCGCCTCCATAAACCATTTCCTGTCCTCCTCGCTGCAAACCGGAAATCAGGGGAAGTATTAGCAACAGGAATATACTCGCCGCCCAGTCGCAATGTGTTCCAATCATTTTGAACTGCAGAAAAATCGAACGGCTCCAACTAAATAAATAAACCTTGAATGATCGAACAGAGTTCTAGATCAAACAACAGCTTTATTTAGTTAATTGTAATGCTACATCAGGACGAGTGAGTCGCATCAACCCAAATGGTAGTATAGAAGAATATTCAAACAGGAAGTATGGCGGCAATTTTAGCGAGACGATACAGCTAGAGCATCATGATTCTTCATCCACAACATGAACTGGTAGTGTACAAGAACGAACTGAACATCCCAACTGATACAGACTACTAGAACATACCAGTAACTTAGCCTTATAAAATCTGAATCCCAATTGAAACATAGCCGTAAAACCTAGAACCAGTAACTCTATATAGCCTTCCTTAAAATCTGGAAAACCCGCACCAGATTCATCCCCAGAATCTAAACGGGGACCGAGCAAGGAAACGAATCGGGTAACTAACTATGTACGGGGAGCAACGGCCTTACTTGAACCAAAAAAAAAACTATGAACGAGGAGCACGAAGGAAGGGGTTTGGGGAGGGGATCTGGGCGAGAGCGGACCTGAGCGCGCGGGGCGGGTTGGTGCCGTCGCTGCCGTGGGCGAGGCTCCACTTGAGCAGGCCGTTCCAGTCGGGCCCTCCTCCTGCTCCTTCCTTGGCCATGCCGCCGGAGAGGCGCCGCCGCTGCTGGAGCTGCGAGATTGATTCTTCAGGCGTGCGTGCGTGCGTGCGTGGTCGAACGTGGTAGAGCTTCTGGCTCTCTCCCTCCTCCTTTTGTAGTGCTCTCTTTGGTTTGGTTGGTCTCTCCTCGCCTTGGTCGGCCGTGGCGTGGTGTGGTGGAGACGGAGGGACCGCTCGGCGGCGGCGGGGGTCTGGAGTGCTCTAGAACCTGCGGAGGAGGAAGCCAAAGCTTCTTTGGGCCGGCCGCCGCGCCGGGTCTTCGGGCCTTGAACAATGTGGAAAGCTAGCCGGGCCTGTTGCGTAAATTGGGCTACGAAGAGAGCCCTTTTTGTCTTGTACTACTATAAGCGCTTGGGCTTTGCATCAGTGTTTCATCGGTGAAAAACAAACATTTGGGTAACGTTTAGTGTTTAATTTTTTTTACACAGGCCAAAATGCTTAACCTTTTTGCCTCAAAATTTGTGGTAGCATTTGAACGTGACTAAGAGCACCTGAAAATTGTCCTTTTTCTTTTGACATTTTCAAAAGTTATTTTTGAGCATGCTCGGGAGCCGAATTGAATTTCTGGAATGTGCCTCACTGTCCTTCTTCCCGAAGAAAAGAAAAGAATATGCCTCGTCAAGATTCAAGAACAAAAGGAGAGAAGAAGAAAATGTGCCTCAATATCCTTCTTCCCAAAAAAGAGAAAAGAACATGCCTCGTCAAGATTCGAGAACAAAGGGAGAGAAGAAACCGTTTGGTGTTGGGCATTTGGTCATGGAAGCAGAAGAGGGACGCACACACACAGAACACAGAAAATCCACCATTCGCGAAGCACACAGAATGTCATAGTTGAGCAGAGATAAGGAAAAGTTTGATTCAAAGGATTTTCATAGGATCTTTGAAGGATTAGAATCTTTAGAAATTTTTCCTATGTTGATCGTTTGATTCGTAGGATTGAATTCTGTAGGATTTTTGATTGAATCCTGTAGGATTTTTTTCTAAGAATTCATTTGTACTACATTTCACAGGAATTCTAGCATCCACTCAAACTTTTTGAAAGAAATCCTTTATTTTTCCCTTAACACATTCAAACAAACTCACTATAGAGATCCAATGGACATGCCATTTCAATCCTGCGTTTCCTATTCCTGTGTTTTTGCAATCCTATGAATCAAAGAGGCCCTAAAGGCTCTTTTGATTCAAAGAAATTGCATAGGATTTTTAAAGGATTTGAATCCTTAGAAATTTTTCATGTGATGCTTGTTTGATTCGTAAGTTTGGCATCCTTAGAAATTTTTCCATAAGATCCATTTGTACTATATTTTGGAGGAAGATTTCCATCCACTCAAACCTCTTTGTAAAGTTCCTCTGTTTTTCTCGCGCTATCAAACATTCTTTCAGATCCTGTAGGATACTATGGGACATGCCATTCTATTCATGCATTTTTTCCTATTCCTTCATTTTGAAGGACCTGCGAATGCCCTAAATGTTGGACGAACAAAGAGGCAAGTAGCTAGCAGTGCACCAGAAGGAACATTTTGCAAGAACCATATTTCTTCCAGCTTGCAAGAACATTTACACGGTACATGCACACGTTTGTACGAGTGGGCTACACCTTCGAACCTTTCCTACTCCTAATCTCCCGACTGCCTAGCTACCTACCTGTGGCCAGCAGGCCAGACACAGTGACACCCACACACGAGCAGCCTAGCTTCTTCCTGATGCTACAATTTTCGCGTCAGGAACTGAAGCAGAAGAGGGACGCGCCCGCACATCTTCCTCTCTCCGAAACCAAAACAAGACGTGCAGCCAACATCCCTGGCTAGTGGCTATTCCCTAGGCTAGGAGACAGCTAGTTGCTGCAGTCTGCAGAGGATCGTTTACGCGCAGGTGGAGGCGGCGTGCCTGCGCGGCGGCGCGAGCAGGAAGAGGGACTCGATGTCCGGCGGCTGGAAGTAGCCACCCTTGGGCGGCCCCCGGCGCGGCGCCGCCCTGCCGAGCTCCGCCGCGGGCTTCTTCCTTGGCGGCGGCGGCGGGCACGTCGGCAAGGCCGGGATGCGGCAGTCCTCCCTCCTCGGCGTCTCCCACCCCTGCTCCTCCGCCACCGTCGTCGTCGTCACGCCATATTCCATCGGCACCTCCACCTCCATACCCCGTGGACTGTCTTCTCCTAGACTCCTACCAAGCGGGTTTGGTTTGAGCAGCAGCAGCTGGCCGGTGAGCAAGCTACCAAGAAGGAACAGGGAGAGTGAATGAAGTGAGGTGAGCAACCACGGCGGCCAGGCTGCGTGTCTAATATAGTGGTACGAGCGCGTAGCGTGGTGGAGTACAGCGGCATTGCGGTGGCGACGCGGCTCTGGGATTGTACACTAACTCACGCCATGAACTGCGGGACCCTGGTGGACGTGGGCTCCGCTGTCGGCGAGACGGGTAAGCGCGGGTGCGCGTGAAGAAGCCAGGCCAGCAGAGCCGCCGTACGTGGCGCGGGGTCGCGAACGCGCGGGAGCCGGCGTCGGTCGAAAGCGGCACGACCCCTCGCCCGGATCCTCTGCGGCCGCCTCGCTCGCTCCCGCGACACGACCGCCAGGGATGGATCATGGCTGGCGTCGCGTCGTGATCGTGCCCTGAAAACCACTGCACACCGGCCGTACGGATCCAAGACACCGATCAAACCATTCCTCTTTTTTTTTTGTCAGCAAAATATGTTTATACTACATGCTTCATTTTGTTCTTTGCCTCGACGCTTTAGAGTAGCTCAGCTATTTGACATGGCCAAGGGTCACATCGCTTTCATTATAATTTTATGCGAAGGCTGGCTGTATTTTAGACAAGGTAACTGGGTCGCGCAGTGGATCCGAGGCGAGGCGAGGCGAGCCGGGCGGTTCAAACTGAGCCTCAAGCATTGGTTTATCTCTGCGGTTTGGAGAAGGGAGAATGCCCTGGAACTGGAGAGGGAGAGAGAGGGGGGCGTGTCTATCTCCTCGGTCGTCCTGCTCTGCTCGGCGCCGCACGCAGAGGAGTTGTGGCGGGGGCGGCGACCACGTGGAGGCGGCTCCGTGGCGCGGGCAGCAAAAGCGCGGGCCAGCGTGGCCGGGCGGAGTACGTGGCGCCGCCG